AATTCTGGGAGTTGAAGTCCACCCATCTTAAAGTTGCTAAGGTTGAGGAACCCTGCTTTAGGAGAATCCGGAATTCTAGAAACTGGGCCATGAAGGGAACGGAGAAACGGGCTGGGCAAGGGCCAGGTAATCAGGGATGGGGAGGTGGGGGCAAAAATCTGAAAGATGACGGGCGCCGTGATGCGTCCAACAACTTGCAGGTTTTTACAAGCAACCCCCCCCCCCCGCAACATCCCTGCATAGAATAGTCCTTTAACCTGCTGGGAGTTGGGTGCCCGGGGGGACACGGGTCCGGTCTTCTTAGTATTCAGAGAGGCAGAGAACCACCGAGCGGGTTGAGGAGGAATGCAAAACGTGAATTCCTCCTGGAAAGACGAATGTGTTAAAAGAAAGCTGAAGATTGCCCTGCCTCGATGCTCTTCGGCAGAAGAGAAAACTTTCTTCTCAAAACCCTGAGAAAAGATTCTGTTTCTGCAGCCTGCATCGACAGAGGAGAATTCCAAAGCGGAGTCTGTTTCCTGACTTGGTCTACCTCAAAAGGCTGACGTTATTTATTTATTTGTGTGTCGTATTTATATTTATTAATCTTGAAAGCCTGAGAGCGTTTTATCTCCCTCCCTCCCTCTTATACCAAAGAGCGTTAAAACAGAGCCAGTTTTAAGTTTCTTTCTGATACTCTCTTCTTTTTCCCAGGCTTAAATCATGTTTTGCTAACCATCACATTCCTTCTCCAAGGTCATATCTGTGATTCTGTGCAGGATGGGAGGCCACCAAGGGATCCCAGAATTACCAGATGAACTGAAAAGCCTCTCTCTCTCTCTCTCTCTCTGTGTCCATCCATCCAGGAAGAAAAGAATAACATTCAACCTTTCATTGAACATTTGTTCATTTAGCACTTGGAATTTCTGACAACCTCTCAAAATTCCCCCAGCTCCCTACATAAAGAAGTCCTGTAATCTTCCAGTTTTCATATCTCTCCAATATCTCTGGGATTTGGGACTGATGTTCCTTTCCCCAGTGGGGCAAAAAGCTTTCTCCCCTTCCTCATCTTCTTTAGGTTGCTACTGGGACCAGGATCTGTGCAGGCAGAGCTTCGATCACACCATCACCGCCGGCATTTTGACTTTTTTGACCACACCCTGCAGACACCCTGGATCCGTGGCTTTGATACCCAGAAGAAACAACTGGGTGAAGTGGCCATGGGCTGAAAGGTTTACAAATCCAGAAGGGGCTGCTGGCTGCATCTCCTCCCTAGAGAAAGTTGTTGGGGGGAGAGAGAGAAGGTGCCAAGCGGGGAGAGAAGAAAAGAGATAAAGGGGAAAGAAATGGGTGAGGCTGTCCAAGACTGGATGTGGAAGTGCTTAAGAGCATCTCATTGAGTCATTTATCATCCCAAGAAGAATAACCACCGGCATCCTTAAAGATATTTGTATTGATTTATGTATATTTATATTTCAAATTTGTCACTGCCCATCTCACTGCAGGGCAGTTTACCGTAAAAAGAATAAATATGAATTAAAATAGAATAAATATGAATTAAAATAGAATA